TTGAAGCAGATCTGATAAACGGCAGTGAAAAGAGGAAACCTGCAAGGGCAAATGGAGATTATTAAGGAAATAGTTCCACATTCACATTCTTGCCAGAGTTAGATGAAAAGACTGATATCACTCTCGTGTCTAGAGTAAATATGAAGCAGTAACTTTAAACAAACAAGCTCATTAGTGAGCTTCAGAGGTGCTGACATGTGAATTTGCTTATTTTTGGAAAGAGCCATTTATATTCATTAATCTAAAAGCTGGTGCCAGCAACTTCACTGTGTACTTGTTTGTATGGCACCACTTTCTTCTTGAGTATCCAACTCAAACATATGCCAAACAGGTAAGTATCACTCATTGCAAAAAGGTCAAATACAATACTGATAATAATAAAACACAAAAGAGACTTACTTCTCCACCATGTTTTTCTGTTTCAAGACCTGGTGGACCTCAGTTGCTGTTGCTGGGCCCTGAAGCTTCTGACCATTCAGCAGCTCGTTCTCCAACTGCTCGATAGTCTACAAGGAGAGACAACGAGCGCCACATTATTATCATTTTAATAACAAAAGAGGAAGACTGGCATGAGAGAGACACGAGCTGTTTCGTACTTTGCCCGTTTTGGCAAATGCCTCTCCAATCTTTCTGTTGCGTCCACCATAGCAGGTTGTGATGAGGTCGGCGATGCCACAGCTCTCCAGGAAGGTGGCAGGTGAGACGGGGCAGTTAGTGCAGAAAACCTTGGCAAAGGAGATCATCTCCATCAGGCCGAGACGAATCACTGCTGCCTTGGTGTTGTCTCCAAATCCCAGGCCATCACAGAAGCCTGCTCCTACTGCCACGATGTTCTGCAGTGATGATGAAGTTATATATATGAATGTGAAGAATCTTTACTGTGTAGACATAGATGGAAGTAGACTTTTTTAACAAACACTGTCTTTTCTATACAGTAAATACACAGATTCATTTAGATTTAGCTCTGCTGCTTTGGATGCATATGCACAGTGCATATAGATAGATAGATAGATAGATAGATAGATAGATAGATAGATAGATAGATAGATAGATAGATAGATAGATAGATAGATAGATAGATAGATAGATTTAAACATTTAGCTTGGTGAGGATGAAACACCTTGAGTGCGCCACAGATCTCAACAACATCAGACTCCTCCACCACAGTCACGCGGAAGTTGGTGGTCTGCATCAGCTCCTTCAGCAACAACCCATGCTCTTTGTCCTTGCACCCTGAAATTACACACAAATAATCTCAATCTGTTCCCATATTACGTTTAATAATATTATTTATCAAAGAAATAAACTCCATACCAATGGTTGTTTCACAGAACTTCTCATCAGCAACCTCATTGGCAATGTTTGCACCCATGAGGACTGTCATTGTGATGCCCAGTTTCCCTCGGATAACCTCTGAGATCAGCTTCAGACCTTCTGGACTGGCATCGACACCCTAAGGTAACCAGTTATGTTAAAATCCCCTCACTTATTTGTAAAATATTTCTCAGGCTTTAACGCACTGTGTTTTGAAAAAAAAAAAAATCTTAGGATGATGTTACCTTGATAAGAGACATTCCTATCGCATCCTTTTTTATGTGATCTTTGATGGTGTCACACACTCGCACAATAAACTGGTGAGGGACCACGAAGATCAGGATGTCAGCTCCTTTCACAGACTCAGCCAAGTCTGGAACAGCCAGCTAATGAAAGAGAGAAGTCAGAGTAAGACCTGGGATCAGCAAAGAGATAAAACCCGGCGTATATGCCATCTTCTGGACTCAATAAACAGTCCTAGAGGAAGAAAGAGTGCTGTCAGACTCACCACATTGGGAGGCAACTTGTGACCGGGCAGATATTTCACATTTTCATGGTCTATGTTGATGATTTCTGTGAGCTTGCGACCGTTCACCGTCTCCTCAAACACCCACATGTTCACTGTGGTGTCAAACTTGTCATACTTGGCTGCATTGGCTCCCACAATCTTGGCAATGGCAGAGCCCCTGTGGACATGGTGACACAGGAAATCATTCTGCTGCCACAAATCTGGCTGGATGAATGTACCAGTTGCAAAAAACTGTTCTCAGTTTTCTTATGTGAAATGTAAAAAACAAATGTAAACAGATTTCTGTGCTCCCAGAGTGATTGAAGGAGAAAAGGTTGAACAAAAGGTTATTGACTATTTGGTTTAGCAGATACTTCTTTGATTTCAAGATGTTCAGATCTTCTTAGGTCAACTGTTGCTTATATCTGGGAGCTTAAACACTGAAACCACCTACACAAAGATCAGTTTTTAGGAATTACAGTAAAATCTCAGTGGCAAACTTAATATTGTCAGACACTTAAAGACATAAAGAAACCCTCTCTCACTGGCAGATGGACCTCTATTAGTGTATAAAAGGTGAATGTATGTGTTTTAAATAGCTTTAAAATGCTCTTCTAGGCTAGAAAAAATCCAGGTGAAATATATATTTTAAAAAATAAACAAAAAAAAACATTAGAAGGACCTAATTCAATTTCATTTTACATATAAGCTCAGCATAACTGAAGTTAAGAGCTAGGAGAACTCCCTTTAATGATCATATTTCAGATGTCACAGTTGACCTTTTAGGCTACTATGAGATACTGGTCAGGGCCATACTTAGGTACTTCACTAAAACACAGCACCTTTCCTGCACTGCACCTTAGAGCTCAGAGGTTGTGTATTTTTTTGACCACATTAATTTTACATTAATATTTAGGTATTATTTAGGTTTAGGGCAAAGCTGAAATGCTTCCCATCTAACAGCTTTGCCTTTAAAATATAGGTAACCAGTTAATGCATCAGTAATAACAAGTATGTATAGAAACAGTCGGGGTCCATTCTGCTGCATTTTTTAAAAACTTTGATACAAACCTATAAAAGCAGCCAACAATTTTAATCGTAATATAGTATTACATACTGCTTCCACCACTAAAATGCCACACTGGCTGAGAGACAGCAATGCCCCATCAGTGCTGACTCAGCACTAATGTTGCAGAATAATGAAAAGGGAATCTTCAGTAAAGATTTTCTCAGGATATCAAAGGTCATCATATTCAAAGAAAAAAAGAATCCACTCTCCAAACAGCAGGAAATTATGAATCATTTATCCACTCTCAGAGGCTAAAGTTGCCTCCTGGCCTCCAAGTTTACCAACTTTAGACCGCCTTCACAAAAGGTCCCACTGTGGGTGTAATCTTACAAACCCCCAAAAATAAAAATACCGATATGTTGATTGGAATTTACTTATTTATGCGCACCATCAACAGACCTCCACCCCACTTAACTCTAAACTGAAAGGATTCCTAAGGTGCACAACGTGATCTAAAGTCCTTTACTCACCAGTTACCAGAGCCAATCACACAGACCTTCTTCTGTGTTGCCATCATGCACTTGACTTTCAACTCTAAGCTGCAGCTGCTGCGAAGACACACTGAAGCCGGGGCGCACTGTATTTATACCGGACACACAGCTGAGGCGCAAGCACACCCTCTCCTGATGGTTGGTCTGCTCTGTTGCCTCACAGGAACAAACTTTTCCACACCGCGCAACAGGATAGTCGGACGGGTTTTTTTCCCCAATTGAAAGCAGGCACTCACAAACTTAAGCATACAAGGAGTTTTACCTAATCAATTTACACGATTCAATCAATAGAATCTGCGCATTTTAAACCGACTGGGCTCCAGACCAGCGGTCCCCAAACCCCGGGCCTTGGACCGGTACCGGTCCGTGAGTCGTTTGGTACCGGGCCGCGAGAGTTGAGGCTCAGGTGTGAAATGTATAGTTTTCAGGGTTTTTGATCGGTTTTATCGTTTACTCGGCTTTCCTTGGTTTTCACGTGCGTTATGAATAAATCATCTTTTTTTCGGTACCGGTACTAGTTTTATTTTGTTGTATTTACCCGCGACACCTTAAAGGCCGGTCCGTGAAAATATTGTCGGGCATAAACCGGTCCGTGGCGCAAAAAAGGTTGGGGACCGCTGCTCCAGACAATCAAAGCTGCTGATTAGATCGACTGACACAATCAGCAAACTTCTGTAATCCATTTAAAAATCAAAACTCAAACGTCGGTGAAGAAGCTAATCACATTTATGGTACTCAAGTATTTCTGTGCACTCTGGGATAGACTTTCTACAAAAAAAAGAAAGAAGAAGAAGCAGCTTGAGTTTAGTTAATTTAGTTTGTATGGAGCCGAGTCAGGAGCCACCCTATGACTCAATTAAGAAAACCCCAATAATCAAATGAGCCCCTATGAGCAACAGCTTGGCGACAGTGGGAAGAAAGAAACCTCCATAAGAACCAGGCTCTGGGACTGAGTCCATTTGGGAAACAGGAGTAAAAGAAGAGACAAAGTACAACACGAGTACGTTCTGGAAATACAACACTTATTTTAAAAGTATGCAACATTAAAACTAGGGTTGCCAAGTCCACTTCACATTTCATATTCAAGTCCTTACACTAAACAAATCCCCCTGTGCACTTTTCAGGCAGCTTCATTAGTTCACAAAGGATAAAGCAATGTCTTCATTATTAATGCAAAACAAAGGGGGTGGGATGTTTTCTGTTTGAGGACCATTAATCATCTCAGGACCCCTTTAGACCGTTTTCTTAAATAGCCCTAGAGAGGGGTGTAAGCCCTGGCAGAGAAATCATTAAACTACCCAAGTGTACATTTGTTGAATACAGCTCAGCTTCCACCAGCTGCAAGCTAAATCCTCTCTATGCATCAGTATTAACAATATTAATGCACTACATGCCACAAAGGCACGCACTGACTCAGTGACGCGTTTCTTTCAGAGACCACAGGGAGACTTTGTGGAATATTTACTGGTTTGGTTTTGCATGATGATAAACTTTGTGGGTGAAATAACAAATTATACTGTGTGGTGTGTAATAGCAAGCTTTAAATGCAACCCGATGCTGATCCACACAGGAATATGAAACCACATGATAAGGGGGGGGGGAAATCACAGACAAAGAAGACATTCTACATAATCCTTTATTATAACATAAGAACATACAGAAAAATAGGTTTGGTCCATGAAAAAGTCTGCAGATTCACAATTCTACAGTCCCACCCCCCAGTGTTGTTTTACACCCCAGAGGTGCCCCGATGCTCATTTCAAATCGTGTACCTGCCCAAACCTTTATTAGTGTATTCTTGGAATTCATTATTAAAATGCACATACGCAAACATTTTCAGCCAGGACACTCATTTTAACCTCATACAGGGAAACGACCATTAAACCCACAGAAACCAGGTCTTCAGTCAATGTGTGAAGAAGCTCCGGCTCCTCAAATCTGCTCCACCACATATGTTTTATGACTTCTCTGCACAGAATTAAAATACACTAAACTAAAAACGCAGGCGTTTTAACTCTTCCCAACTTGCAGGCGACGTGAATCCGACTGCATGTCTCCCTGCAGAGCCGTGCTCCGTAAAGCGTCACTGCTGTCTTTACTTTGTTGCGGAGAGCTAAACCACTGGGCTTGGAGAGCGAGGGCCAATTAATAATATACTGGTTTGACTATCTGAGCATAGACAAAGACTTAAGAAAAAGATCAGCCAGGATAAGTAATACAGGTTTACTTCACATCCATCTTCAGTTTTTTTTCTGCTCAGTATTTACAAAACTTTAATGACTAGAGGTACTCATACTAGCTACTTCAATGATAATCTGTACTAGCTAACAAGACAAGTACGGATATAATACATATTTTTAAAACGAGGATCACTGATAGTAACAAAAAGGAGGAAAAATAAACGTCAAAACAAATGGCACCTTTAACAAATAAAACTGCTTTCCAACAACAATGTATAATCTGCTGTGATTGACTGTCTCAAAAGACTGTGCCACAAACTGTGAAAAATAACCAATGGCAACTTAAAACAAGGTGACGTATGAACAGCCAATGTGTAGCAAAAAAGCCCAATTGATTACAAACACAATCACAATCAATATTTAACTAAACGGGCAAGCATCCGGGGGCCAGGCTTGGAGTTGAAAATGTAAATTTACTTTCCAAAAGCGGGAACAAAGAGCCACGCCAGACTCGACACATTCCGGCTGATTTAAGATTATTTTTTTGTTCCAGGGACAATACATTTAAAGTTGCGAGGTACAGTCTGCCCTCTGCTTTTCATCTGTGTACAATCTACGTTTTTTGTGAGGACACAGTGTGTTGTCAAAATGAAAGGAATGCTTCTAGCTAAGGCTAAGACATGGAAAAAAAAAAAAAAAATCAAACTTCAATTAAAGACACTTTTGCTCAAGAGCTCTCGGTGTGAGGAGGAGAAAAATCTGTCATTAAAAGAAAAAAGATAAAGCAGAAACCAAACTTGGGGGGAGGGGGGGGGGGGAAGATAAAGGAAAATTGACATCCTAGAAAATGCTGAGGCCATCTTTTATCTATCTCTCTCTCTATGTTTGTCAGTTTAAATGTCCCACGCACACACATTAGTTGTCTCCACCAGCAAAACATGTCTTCTCATTTCCTGCTGCATGTGACGACCTTCTTTAGGTGTTTCTGATGCCGAGCGCCTGCTCCAGCTCCTGCCGCCTCTGCTGGACCTAAAAGATGTTTTCACAGAGAGATGATTTAATCAGCAGAAGTCAGCATTAAAAAGCAGATAAAAAAATAACAGGGGTATGCATGGGCTCAAAGTGCATCCAATAGTGCTGGTAGATATTTAGCAAGTCACGAGTAAGATGTTCTTCATCGTAGATCAAAGTTTGCTAATAGTGACTGGAGCCAAGGGGGCTGAGGTGGGAAGTGATACTATATTAAATGTATTTAAATACTCTGGGAATATTATGAATAAGAGGAGTCATCTTACAGTCTACCATCCTGAGATAACATTAGCAGAGCAAACCTGGCTGAACTGAAAAAGCATCAAACACCGGACACACTGCTACTTTATAGATGCAGACAGATTGCCACCATCATGTCGTCAGTCTGAACTGTCTTTGACAATGAACAGAAGTCGAGCGGACTCAACTCAACTGGCTGCCAGCTGGTTGTACTCTGGTTATATCCCCTTAGAGCAGGAAGGTTGCTGAGTGCAACTGTAATAAATAAATGTAGTGAAATGTGAATTTATGTTTATGGAGATGGCAACAAATATGAGATTTTCAACAATTTATCACAGTAACAGACTGAATGTAATTGCCATATCGGCCATATTCCATCACAGACTGATGGACTGAGTTTTATGGCGACATTTAAGGTAGTTTTAAGTAGGGCTGTTTGATATAACGATATATATCGGATGACGATATGAAAACGTCTATCGTTTCATTTTACGCTATCGTTTGTTTCGTGGTGTCACAAAATAAACTGTTTACGGCAATATTTATTCATCGTTTTGATCGTCACTGTAGTGGCTATATTAATTTCTTAAAGTTCTCTCTTTCTCTTATGTTTTATATAACCACACTACGGACGGACAAGCGCCTGTTTTTATGCGTTGTGGTTAGCAACAATGACGGTAACACCATCGCGTGTCTGCTTGCTTATGTTCCACATAAACCTTTCACAATAAAGCTCAAGATCCTGTTGAGACTTTTCAAAATAAACTGAATCATGTGAAAGAGCAGATTATTTACGGATGAGAATTAAAAAAGAGCCGCCAGGTGCTAAAAAATAAACCTTAGACTCAAACGTTAGAACAGGCTGTTCCCCGCAGCACGCTGTGTAATAAATACTCACAAAGAAAACGGCGGCCGTTACAACTTATGTCTAAAAATGTATCGTTTCATGCATCGGTTAAAACACTCGACTCCAGGTACATGACGTCCAGCTGGAAAGACTTCCCGCAAGTCGAGCTGCCCGAGATTCACAGAATTTACAGAAAATGTTACATTTTTGTGATTTATATCGTTAGCGGACGATAGAATTCTTATATCGGGTGGGATGATTTTGGGTCATATCGCACAGCCCTAGTTTTTAATGACGTTGGTAACTACTTTACTTTGCAGCAAAGAAAAAAAAAGCTGTGCGATATAAATTTTCTTATTAGATAAATACAGATAGCTTAATTTTGAGGTTAGGTGATAAATCACAATATGTGTTATTGAAATACTCAGCATATCGCAAAAGAACGTTAAAATCACAATAATATTGCATTGTGAGTGAAGTATTGTGATAATATAGTGTGGGGCGTCTGGTGATTCCCACTTCTATTGGCCTGTAAAAACAATTTCAGAAAAGGCTCTAGAAATAGTGAAATGTTTTCCTTTAGCTCTTATAAAAATACAATTATGTATAAACTAAGAAAGCATTTAAGACATGATTGTTGACTTCTGTGCAAACCCAGATGGATCAGCCTAAATATGTTATCTAAAAACAAATACTACTGATGTCTATAACTTGATATGAAAACATTCTGCTGTGTATCTAAATAGAAAACTCCAAAATGACATCCTATCAGTTAATTACGTGGATGACTTGTTGCACCATGGCAGATTCCACTGAGACATTTTTTGAAAACAATGATAAGCCGAGCACGACATATTTAAGTAATAAAAATTAATCATCTGAAAACCACAAACTTCTCTATAAAAGCTAAATTCCTTGGTACGATCTCTTTGCTAAAATAAAACAAAGAAGAAAAGAAAACTGAGTTACCTTGGAGTAGAAGTAACGGCAGACGGCCTCCTGAGCCCACGGCTGGTAGTAAAACTCTGCTCTTCGCTCCTCTTCTGGGTTTCCTACCACATCTGTCATGGTCTGTTAACAGAAAGAGATATTATTGTATCAACCTCCATCTAAACTAGTGCACCAGCTGATAAATTAAAGGGCACAGGGTCTCTGCAAGGCCAACTGGGGATTTGCTTTGAGAGCAGCTACTGAGCTTCAGACTGAATTTGTTCAATTTTACAGCGATCCGACTGAGCAAACACTGCAGGTGGGTGACATCTGGTCAAGCAGTTAACCGGCTCGCTCACAGAAAGATGGGGGCGAGCATGCATGCAGTCAGACGTTATTAAATGTTTCACGCTCTATTTTGACTCTGCTACACCTGATTGAGCAGCATGGGGTTTGTGTGCATGATCTGAGGTTTCGAGCAATGCACGACGTAAACTTAAGTCAAAGGCTCAAATACTGTTAAACTCTAATACCTCCAAATCTGTGGATTGCCAATTTACAAATATGGCACAGAGCACCTTATGACAAAAAAATCATGCATGTCAAGTGGCTTTCATTTAATTATCTGGTCATCTGTTATTGTCTACTTGTGTGATATTTTCACCTCAGAAGGTGTCTTTTTTTCCCACCTTCTACTTCTGTTTGTTATTCCTGCCATTTCTTTTCTGTCTACAAATAACATGCCCATAATCTGCTTAAAGCTTTGCATTTAAATTAATTTTACAGGAAGTCGGGTCACTTATTTATTTTTACATAAATCTAATCACAAAACAGCCCAAGGAAAAGAAATGGACCCCTGTTCTACAACAGGAAAAAATAAAATGAACGAAAAGAATCTGTTGCGTTATGTACAGTGTAGGCAGAAATAAAAATAGTGAAATCTGACTGTGGTGGAACAGAATGACAAAATCTGGTAGAGGAAAGCAATGAGTCACATCTTTCTACTTGTGATGCTGTGCATCTTTCTGCTGCGTTGCATTCTTATCTTTTTTAAGGTTGTCAGTGGAGAAACTGGTGCTGCTGCTCTGTCCTCTTTCTGATCCGTAAGGGGTTTATTTCTGAACGGCTGTGTGGTAAAAAGGATTACTCAGCACTTACTCATCTGAGCGAACCTCAACTCCACATTTAGATATAAACTTTAGGCGGTTCAAAATGTTTTTCTTATTCTTACACACATCCTACACAGCCAATCACAGTGATGTGTGTTGGGAGGAGGATTTGATGACATGGTACATCTACTGATGCCTGCTGTGACTAGAGATAATAAAAAAAGCTCAATGCTACTTTAAGATCCTCTCTTAAAGTAGCAGGACAGACACACTCACCTTGAGGTCTCTGCACTGGGACTGCAACCAGTCGTTGATAAAGCCCTGAGGATCCCTGGCAAAACTCAACATGAACTCCCTCTGGGTCTTCAGCTGGTTAATGGTCTCAATGGTTTCATGGATCTGAGAAGAATCAAGCACAAAACAGAAAGCCTGTCATGTTAAAAGACTTGATGTAGCTAACTAAATTAACAGGTGTTTAGTATTCCTCAGATCAAAACGATTACACCAGGGACATCCCTTTATAAATCTTTTATTGCACCATAAATTATACGAGCGGTTTTAAAACCTCTAATTACACTGATATATCTTTCCTATCATTTTCTCTGACACCTATGTAGGCAATAAAGTTACACACACACGCACGCACACACGCACACAAAAACGTGTCACAAAACAAAGGCGGACATCCATCCATCAATCTACACATGTATACATATACATATGTATACACATATACATACATATATGCTTCAATATAATGCTAAACAACTTAACTTGGAATGAATGAATGAATCAATTAAACAGGATTAAAAAAAAATAACACTAATGTAGTCGACTAAACTAAAAGTAAGAAAACACTGAAAGTCCATATTAAGCACCTAAATCCTGACATTACACTGTCTGTACAAATATAAGAGCCATTTCAAACCATATT